GTGCAGCGTTACAGGGTGACTTGAAAGCAATGAGGCAGCAGGTTACGAAATCACCAACCATGTCATTACTGGTTCCTATCTCAGTAATAAATGGAGCACTGCCTGTGTGCTGCTCTCCATTTGCATCTTTAGCGTGAATTATTTGCCCTTTTGATAGCTGGCAGTTGATAGGAGCTCATGCATCAAACAGTGAATGCTCTGAGGTACTGTTCCAGGCATTAAGGACATATAAGTAGGAGCTAATCTTATCTTTGGGGAATTTATAATCTACAAAAATTGATTCAATGTCTCAGTGGTAAACAAGTTAGAACTGAGGGGCAGTCAGAAGCCGGGGTACCCTGAAGGGAGAGATTCATCTTAGAGAGAGCTATCAGAGTGGAGAGAGTGCTAAGAAGTCTTCTGAGAAAAATAGGTATTTAATCTTGTTATTAAAACAGTAAGATACTGTGTGGCACAGAAAATAAAAGGTTCTTGAGCGGAAGAGACATCTTCCACAATGCCACAGAGAAGTCACCCTGGGAATGGCCAGTGAGAATCTAAGTGGACTGCTGCAGCTAGGACATAAGGGTATAAAAGAAAAGGATCTAAACATGTGTTTGGGGTTGAGAATATGAAAGGTACATGAATCAGGCTATTTCAGGGTTTATCCTCCATGCAAGGAAGAGCCATTGGTGAGCTTCTGTGGATAAGAAACATGACTGCAGCCCTATTTCTGGCTGTCTTGGTGTCAGAGTGCAGAATACAGTGGAACGGAGAGCCCCTGGGGAAAAGCAAGTGCAGCTGTCGGAAGAGACGGGGGAGCCTGTGTTGAGGATGTGCCAGTGAGGACAGGAGAGGGGAATGCACTGGAGACCACACTGAGGAGGAAAGGACAGGGTTGGCAAAGCAGAGCTGGATAGTGGAGTGAGAGAGTGAGGGTGGATTTTACAGCTCTTCCTCAGGGTCGAGAAGGAGGCCATTCACTGAAGCAGAATGCAGGAGGAAAGAAGATAATATTGATTCTAGAACACAAGGCATTTGAGGGGCGCTGATAAAAGCCTGGCAGAAATGCCTGTGGGGAGCCCTCGGTTTGTAGCTCTGGAGTAGGTGTGAGCTGAAGGATAAGGAGGAAATGGAACCACAGGAATGGTCAAAACAAGGGGGGAAAGCAAGGGGTGTCTGAAGGGGTCCCTGAAATGCTTACACATTAGCAGCAGGTCACAGGACTAAAAGGAGCAGCCAGACAGAGGAGACAGTACTGTGAAAGCCAGAGGAGTCTCACTGAGAAGAGTAGGTTGCTGGTGTGAAGCACAGTGAAATGTATGAGAGATGACTCCTGACAGCACAGTGGTGGGGACAGCACTAGGTGGCCAGCGGCAGCTGGGTGGCGTTCTTCTGGAGGCGCTGTGGGGGTGGAAATGATCGCAGTGCACTGTGATGTGGTTCAAAGATGAGGAAGTGGAGATGGTTTTCTTTGCATTATTTTTTGGGTAGAAGAGATGGTTTGCCATTTCTCTGGTCTATTACTCATGGAAATAACCTGATTTTTAAAAAAAAAAAACAGTTGCCTTGGCTTAGGCTTTGAAAAAAAAGTTCCTCTTTTTAAAATAACTGGTTTCTACCAGATTGTCTGCAACTTTGACCTGCCTATTATAATCTTACTTTAATCAAGTAAATAAATGAGAGATTTAGACTCAGTGCAATACTTGGAAAATCTGTATTAAATGTAAATAAGACAAAATCCTAAACTTGGAAATTTTATTTGGTCCAGGCATACGTTTTAAACAAGCCCTCTTTCTTGTACTCTCTGTCCCTTTAACACCCCTATGTCTTCTGTGAAGTCCCCAGACAGAACATAATAGCAGCCACATGTGGTGCACACCTGCAATCCCAGAACTCAGGAGGCTGAGGTAGGAGGCTGAGGAGGAGGATCACTTCAAGTTTGAGGTCAGTTTGGGCTACATAGTGAACTCAAGGCCAGCCTGAGCAGCACAGTGAGACCCTGTCTCAAAAAAAAAAAAAAAAAAAAAAAAAAAAAAAGAAAGAAAGAAAAGAAAAGAAAGAGAAAATGAAAGAAAAGTAAAAGGACCAAATGGCAAAACAATTTCTCCCTACTTTCATCTACATTTCATTCTAAGCTAAGCTTTCAGAACTGTTCACTCATTCCTTCTAGGGCAAACTAAACCATTTTAATTTGAAGCAGTTGTTGAAGGGTGGGGAGGTAGTTCAGCGGCATGAGCACCTGCCTGACAAGCACAAGGTCCTAAGTTCAATTCCTGGTACACCCCCCAAAAAAATGTTGAGAATATATCTCTATTCTAAGAATAAGTTCCCTATAAAAACAAAGCTATCTCTGCCAGAGGTAAAATATGACCTTCCAAGTCAGAAATTCTGTCAAAAGAGCCCATATTTAAGCGTTAAACCAGATTTCTATCTAAAATACAGGGACAGGCAGATAGCTCAGTAGAATAAGCGCTTGCCTGGCAAGCCCAAGGGCCTGAGTTCAATCCCTGGTTCTGAAAAAAAAAAAAAAAAAACTTAGAGCTGGGGAGATTGCTCAATGGAATAAGTGCTTGCCTAGTGAGCATAAGGTCCTGAGTTCAATTCCTGGTACCACCAAAAATAAATAAATAAATATATAAACAAATAAAATGCAATACAATTGATTTCCCCTGGAAGGAGTCCACAGCCAACTTTTCTCTGCTATTTCTGATTATTAAATATATTGGTATCTCTACTTAAGAATGGCTTAAAAAAAAAAAAGAATTGCTTGAACCTACTGGGTTCTGTTAAATCATTACAAGAACCACACTACATATGAAGATTTGTTAAATTAGAGCTGGTGTCAAGAGGAGTGGGTTGAATGACTCAGAGGAGCCAGGTATCTGCTGCGCCAGCTCCTGTGTGACGCCATATTGTCTGCTAATTCTCTCAGTGGCCACCAAAAGGCACACTGACAGGAGAATTTCAGCTGTCCTACATGGCACTAAGAGTATTTTCATGTATCCCTTTGAAAAGGGAAAAGTTCTCTGACAAGTTGTGCATAGCATTGATTTCCTGTTTTGCAGTTTCACTTGACCTAAACCACTATTTTTAAAAAAAATTTAAACCCCAGCAAAAGAAAAATGTTTGAGGTAAATATAATATAAACACAGTAATGTTTGAGATTATTCATTTTGCCTATTTTCCCATTTCTCCAATACTGTTTTGCCTACAAGTAGTGTGTGTGACATATTACTTTGCCTAAGAGCTGGCCCTTGACACACACACAGGTGACATATGACAGGCTGACAAGACTTCTTAGACAAATACCAGCCCAGAGTTTAGATGGGAATGGTCCAGTTAGCAAATAGATAATAAACAGAACCTACGAGGCAGAAAGATCACGCCCCGTGGCTGGAGGGGAGGAACTTCACATAAAGTCATACATGGGTCTGTCCAAGAACTTTTCAAGGTTGAACACCAAGCTTGAAAAGAAACCTGATCAATTTAAAAAGAGCCACATTGCCTTCTCAACAGCAAAGGTTACCAGATAAAATTTTGCAATATTGGGGACATATACCAAAAAGTGTGTTTGTTATGTATCTGAAATTCCAATTGGACTGGATGCCTTCTATTTTTGTTGGCTAAATCCAACAACTCGATCAACAATCATGACCATGCCTTTTAGCCCCTGCCTCTGGAACCTGGCATCACCAGATCGGGGCCATTTGCAGGCTCCCTGAAAACTTCTCCTGCCAAATAACCAAACAATTGGGCTCTTTATCCAAAAACAGGTCAAGGAAGAACAAATACTTACTGTACACTGGCTCCTGGTCTTGCTCCGGCCAGACAAAAGGACCCAAGTTGGTCCCTCGTGAATTAGGCAAGTAATTGTTTCTTTCTTAACTCACTGGTGGGGCTTCTAAATAATACCCTTTTCTTAAAAATTTTATTCTATGATTTTTTATTTTATTTTTTGGAAGAGTCTACCGGATGTTCAGGGTCTCACTACTAGATCGGACTCATAGGGATCCGCCTGTTTACAGCCTGGCAAGAGCTGGGATCACAGGCGTGCGCCACCACGCGCAGACTCAATGCTGTCTCAGCACGCCCCAGGGGCAGGGCCAGCACAGCACGCCTGGGAATTGATCCCAGGTTCCTGCGTCGTTGGCATGGAGGCGCTTTAATCCGCTGAGCTATTTGCCTGACCCTATGATACCCTTCTTGCCCCTTCTACCCATTTCTCCTTCATTCTGTTTACATTTTGCCATTTAATAATCAAATATTATTCTAGAGTGGGGCTCTAGTGAACGGAGCGAAGCAATGCAGGTCACCCTGCTTTCTTCATTGTCCCAGTGCTTGCTGCAGGCATGACAACCCCCCTCATGTGCTCATGCGCGTTTCTAGCCTGTGCTGGTCTTCCTTGGCCAGAGCCTTTGACCTCTCCCAGAGTGTACTTTTCATACTAAGCTTCATCTCATAAGATCCAGTGCTAAATAAAATGCTCAGGTTCTTCTTCTTCGAGCCTTAGTATTGGGTAGTCAGACACTGAACCTCTCTTAAAGCAATATGTGTGTCTTAGGGTGCTCTTCATTGTCCAATGTTCAACAGTCTCATGTGGAGAAAGAAAAACTTTCTCCTCCACCCTCTCAGATTCAGTGCTTGTGGGCAGAAAAGTAAATGGACAAAAGATAGCAGCAGTTACTGTGTATCTGTACGGAGGCCTTCACAGAGAAGAAGTGAAGGGGGCCAGGGAGATGGCTCAGTTGAATAAGTGCTTGCCTGGCAAGCACAAAATCCTGAGTTCAATCCTTGGTACCACAAAAAAAGAAAGGAAGGAAGGAAGGAAGGAAGGAAGGAAGGAAGGAAGGAAGGAAGGAAGGAAGGAAGGAAGACCCCTGGGCTTGTGTGCCGTTTTATTAAGAGCCAGAAATTGTGGAGAAGTAACTAGGCAAAGAGGAGGAGCTGGGCTTGGAGGAGTGGTAAACACGTACCTCTGAATGCGCTGCCTCATGGGAGTTTGTGATTATGGCATACTTGCATTTTAATGCCATTAAAATGCCCTTTTGTAGACAGTGAGAAAGAGAAGACAGAAGCTAAGGTAGAACTCAAGTCTGCCTCTGGCCCAAGTGGAGTGTGGGCCAGAGTGTGGGCCTTTCCCTCACCCTTTCTAACTGTCTGTGGGTTCACTAGCTGCACAATTAGTATTGGAGCTATACTGTGCATCCCAGGGCTCCTGTGTACCACAAGTTCAAGCTGCCTGTCCTGCCAAAGCCTAGAGGGGGCCTCTCCTTCCTTTGGGGCCCTACAGCTGCCTCTGATTACCAATCTCATTTCCAGCTTCTAGATTGTTACTTTGAAGCCTACCAGCACGCGTTGGACCCTGAGGAAAGGTTTGCCTTGGCACAAGCGATGACAGATATTATGCACCAGCGCCCCAAATTTGATCTAAGCCACCCTTATTTCATTAAGGCCTACCAAGAGGCATGCACCTGCCTGAGGCTTCACCTGCAGCTGGTGAGGAGCATCCTCAGCCATCATGTGAGTAGGATTTTAAATATGGCATATTCAGAACCAGGCACTGTGGTATGTGCCTGTAATCTGAGCACGGGGGCGGCTGAGGCAGGAGGATCATGTGAGTTCCAGGGCAGCCTAGGCTGCATAACAAGACCCTATCTCAAAAAGAAAAAAAGAAGAATGAATGAATAAATATTACATGTTCACATATATGAAAAACAAGGGCCAGACATGAACATGAACATTCCAGGTCCAGAGGCTGGATTTTCTTTATTATTATTATTATTATTTCATTTTGTATATTTGGTACAGGGTCTCACTATGCAGATCAGGCTTGTGGTGATCCTTCTGTTTTCAACCTCCCCAGTGCTGGGATTACAGGCGCCTAGACTCTGTCACCATCTCAGTGTGCCCCAGGGGCAGGACCAGGGATCAAACCCTGGTCCCTGTGCTTGCCAAATCAGGCACCTAATCCACTGAGCTATCTTGCTGGCCTGAAGCTGGGTTCTCTAGGGGACATGTACTACATGGTTATTTGTAAGCTCATTTGCATTGCTGAATTCCAAGCAATAACTTTGGTCTTAAAGGGAGATATCTGGTCCTAATGATAGTTAGTGATCCCCCTGAAACTTTCCTCTTCAGTTTTCATTAGATCATAAAGTTTGTCAGTAGTGAAAGAAGAACTAATAATACATCTTTTTAAGACACTGGGGTATAATTTTTTTTTTCCTTTTTTAATGTGTCACTGAAAGAAATGATCACATTCTGTGCCTTCCAGGGAAAAGCTAAGCAGAAAGCACGCAGGACATAAAGAATGTTGCAACCAGGTTGGAACTTTGTCCATGCAGTGAATTATTTGACAGACAGAAATTAGTTGTCTTTGCTTCCTTTGGCTGACTCTTGGTTCAGACTTCTCAGACCGGCATGTCTCATTGCAAATGAATCTGGAAAACAAGATCTGGATGAAAATTAGCCAAATGATAGTTTCAAAGGGATGATAGCCTTCTCACATGCAATCCCACTTCTGCCTATGAGAAAATTGAACTCTTCTCATTTTAATGCTTATGTTACACTTTCAGATAGAGAGTCAGACAGAATATGTCCAGAGGCTTCATTGGGAAGATCATCTAGGTGACTGGGATACGTTCGGACTACCTCTCGACATTTCTTGTAAGCAACCTGATTCTGTCAGTAACGTCTGGTAAGTTGGTGTTGCCCTTAAGCATTTTACAATTAATCTTCTAGATTAATGAAGAGTGTGGTGTGGAATGTAAACGCTATTCCATAAAGCACCTTGCAAGTGTTTGGGCAGATAAGAGGTATGTGTATAAAGCCTCAGAAGTGGACATGGTGGCACATACCTATAATCACAGCACTTGGGAGGCTGAGATAATCCTGGGCTACCTAGGGAGTTTAAGGCCAGCCTGAGTGACAAACTAGGCCCCTAGTTCCTGTCTAAAAGGAAAGAAAGGAAGCTAAAAGTCACAACAGAAGCATTCCCTTGAATATTGAATCTGTTTGCTTTGTATGTAAAAGGAATAGGTGCTAGAATTTAAACTTCTGTCATTGGGTGCAGAATTGTCACTTTCTTGAAAGGTTCTGGAGAAAAAAAAGTAGTTCTTGCTGCACACCACCCACATCTGAAATTTAGATGTGCTTACACATTTCTCAGAAGAGAATTCTCTCTAACACATGTCATTACAGAGGTTTCTGCTCACTTGTCTTGTGACCTCATGCCTCTAAAGAGCAGAGTTTAAGTTCCTGAGGCCTCTCTGATTGGGTATACAAAACGATGACTCTCCCGTCAGGCTTTGAGCGGGAAGCAGGTGACAAGCCCCAGGTGGATCTGTGCAGCCTGAGGCAAACAAAATTTCTCTGTTGCCTTTGAATGGATGGAGAACTTTCCAGCTCCTTTCAGTATCCAACAAGTGCTCATTGAGGAGCTGCGTGTACCAGGCAGTGTGCTAGAAGCTGGGAATACAGATGGGAACAAGACACGCCCCCTCAGCCTTGACATGCGCAGTGCAGTAGCAAAGGCAGCCCTCGTCTGAGAGACGGCCCTGCGTTATGGCACAATGTCAGGGACAGGCAGTGTGCTGTGGAAGTTAATCGTTAAGATTCTAGCCTTGTTTCCTGAGAAAGCACTCTGCATTTTTTCCCACAGACCTTTCTCAGGACCGATCTTCGTCACTGTAATGAGCTTGAGATAGCAGCTGTGTGCGTGCAGCTTGCTACAGGAAGAATCTGCTGTTCAGGAAATGATGTTTGGCTGAACAAGCAAAGGCTGTATAGATACTAACGCTTGTCAGAATAGTCTTAAAAGCAAATATTATTTGCTTGATGAGATCCATTTCCAGACTTTGTGCTATATTTTTAAAGATCTAGCACTAAGAATTCCATTTGCATAAGTTAAAGGAAATATTTCCTGTCTTCAGTTCTCCCTAGGTATTGGGAGACCCTTGACGTGTGCTGTATTCTTTATTTCCAAAGGAATAACCCACACTGGACATTCAAAATTGTTTCTGGTCTCATTTATTTCTAAAGTATAACATCTTTACAGCAAATATAAATGATGCCAGGAACTGCATACAGATTTTAAAACGTGCCTTTGTCCATTAATACGTTGGGGGGAAAGGATAAAACTTCAAGTGAAAAACAGAAGCTAACAATGATGTAAAGTATTTTTTAGTTACCCGTTTTTGTTGTTCATTAATTTGTTCTCAGATATATGACTAGATTTTGTTTTGCTTTGTTTTTTTCCAGAAAAGGGGATTGAACTCAGGTCCTTGCACTTGCCAAGGAAGCACTTATTCTACTGAGCCATCTCCCCGGCCCCTTGACTAGATATTGTGTACTGAGATTTGACATTTTTGCTGTGCATAGTCTTCTTTCTCTCGGGCTTTTAGAATACATACCTACTTCTTTTGATTTTGAAGAATTCACATTAAAGCAAAGAGGATGTCGTGAGACCCAGGAGACTCCCCGAACGATTACTGTAGTCTCTCTGAGGGCTGGGTTCTCTATAACACTCTGAACTTATGGGAGCTGCATTATTGGTCTTTATTTTATTTTATTTTATTTTATTTTATTTTATTTTATTATTTTATTTTTGGTGGAACTGAGGATTGAACTCAGACCCTTGCGCTTGCCAGGGAAGCGCTTCTTCCACTGAGCCATCTCCCTGGCCCCTACTGGTCTTTAAAACTATAAAATTCAGCTATGTTGAGAAAGTTACTGGTTGTGTAAAACTGTCATTCATGTTTCCTCTTCTTCAAGCCCGGCTCTGAGAGGCCTTCATCTGCTGGACTTCCACCCTTCCCTCGGCCTGGTGGGGCTCATCCCCAGGGCCCTCGAGCACCTACAAAGAGAGGCCCGCCACGCCCACCGGCCCAGGTCCCCCTGGGGCCTCGCCCTGCTGGAGCGGCGCGTCCTGCAGCTGGCCCTGGACCTGTGGCTCTCGCCGACCAAGCCCGAGGCCTGGTACAGCGCGCGGCTCCAGAGAGATGTGGGTTCTTTGTCTAGAGGACAGTTTGGTTCTTGGCAAAGAGAACGTTTCCTTCCAGATGTTACTATTTAGCCTTATTTCTCTGTTTGGCTTTGTTCCTCACTGTTGGCCAGGGATAGAGAACAGTCATGGGCCTTGCCAACATTTGTATATAATTTTTTTGGTCGAGTTTGCTAGTATATAAGAATGCTGCTAAAGCTGAAAATTGAAGGGATTATATAAGTATGTGAAAACTTTTCTGGTTTATTTACAGTTCCACAACAATATACAGTTTAAATTAAAACTTACATATTTTCTTCTCACTAAGACTCTTCTTAAAATCTGTTTGAGTCAAATTCAGATTCAGGAGAGAAAATAGAAGGCAACAACCCAGACTCACATCCAGCACTGCCACGAGCTTGCTGTGTGCCTTGCAGCAAGTCTGATGGCCCCTCTGAGCCTCACTTTCCTTTTCTGTAAAACAGGATTTATATATCGGGGTAGAAGTCAGTGAGGATGAGTTTGATGATCTCAAACACCCCTTCCTCTGGTGTCTGATGGTTCAAACTGTGGCCTAATGATTTCTAGAGTTTTCTACTTGGGTTTTAATGCTTTTCTTAATTAAGGCTATCAAGACTGAGTACGATTTGCAATTCCACTTTACTCTGTAGATATTTGCTGCACAGCAGAGGAACTTTCAAAGACCTGGCTGCCAAAGTGATCTGTGGGTCTGCCATGCCTCCTAGCACTTCCTGATCAAACTAACATTCCATTTTATTTTGCATTAATTTTAAGTTGATGAAAATCAAAATTAGAGAATTTTAGCAAAAGAAGTATAACTAACCACTCACATGCATCCATTATCATTTTTCTGAATTCAGATATTCTTCACATGACTATTTTACATAGACATGTGCTTTGTACACTGACATCTATTTTTCTCAGCTAATATATATATATTTTTTATTAATTTATTTTTTTCAGAGGAGTTGTTCATTTATTTAATGTATTTGGTACAGAGTCTTACTGCGTAGCTTGGACTTCTAGTGATCTTCCTTTTTCAGCCTCCCCAGTGCTGGGATTACAGGCCTGTGCCATCACCCCAGTCTCAGTGGCAGGCTTAGCGTGCCTGTAGGCGGGGCTGGCATGGCATTTGTGATTGAACCCTGAGCCCTGCACTTGCCTAAGCAGGCACTTAGTCCACTGAGCTATCTCGCCGGCTCAATATTATGTATGTTTCATATTACTAATTAATCTTTAGTTTAGCTTCATAACCACACCATTCTCTGATGTGATGAATCATCCTCCTTTAACTGTGTCCCTCCTGCTGGGCATTCAAGGAGTTTTGTTGTCCCTTATTAAAGCTGCTAAAAGGTACATTTTTATGCTTACAGATTTTTCCATATTTTGAATTGATGCCTTTCAATAGAATCTTGGAAGAAGAATTGGTGAAATGAATTTAAATTTTTGGATACATATTGTTGGATTACTTTCCAAGATAGTGATGCCAACTCATAATGCTGCCAGTAACATTTAAGACACTCAGGTCTACTACAGTGTATAGTACAGTATTAGACGAAAGCCTATAATGCGCTGATGTACACATATATGTGAAAGCTCCTAATTTACCTTTCCTTTCAGCTTACTCAGATTATTCTTTCAAATGTTTTGTTATGAGCTGTAATTTCTGAGAATTTTCTGTTTTTTTATTTTGCTAATATAAGTTTAAATCCTAATGTCATTCTTACTTATTTACATGAGCTTTACTTGCATAAAAATTTTAGTTTTTTTCCTCCAACATACTGTCTGCAAATATTTTTCCATTTTTCTATTTTTTAACAGAAAATTATTTTAATATAATCAAATCTTTTGAGCATTTCCTTTGTGATTTCTTCTATCCTTCTAAAAGCAGAAAAAAATCTTTCTCCAGATGTTTTATATTCTGTTATTTTTATTGTCTTATTTTATTCTAATTTTAAGGATTTATTTTTATTTTTAAAATATGTAACTCCTGGCCAAGTGTGGTGACACATGCTTGTAATACCTACACTTGGGAAGTGGAGGCAAGAGGATCCCCATGAGTTTGAGGCCAGCCTGGGCTACACAGTCATTCAAGGCCCCCCTGAACTACACAGCAAGACCCTACCTCAAAAAATAAAATAAAATATAGCTTTTTATTATCTCATGGGGGCAAGTGTGTGTATGGTGTATTAGTAATGAATTAAAATTGAATTTTTTTCCAAATTATCAGAAATCCATGTGTGTGTGTGTGTGTGTGTGTGTGTGTGTGTGTGTTTCAGACAAGGTCTCACTATGCAGTGTAGGCTGGCCTTGAGTTCAGTTTGTAGCTGATCTCGAGCTCACAATAATCCTCCTGCCTCAGCCTCCTAACTGCTGTGATTACAGGCATGTGCCACTATGCCCAGCTTCAGGGATCCTTTTTATATTGTTTTATTATGCTATAATTTAAAAACCTGTTTGAAATTCTTTTATGAATTATAGTGAATATCTGTAATTCATTCCATTTATTCTCCTACTGATGCCAATTTTTATTATTATTTTCTAAATATGTTCAAATTTGGATCTAGAAATACGAAATGCTCAGATTAATATTCTGCATTAACTTAGAAAATAGAGGTAGTATTGCTTTCAGAAGACATGCAAACATTTAATAGAACTCTGGTTGGTATCAAGGTAGAAAACTGTAAGAGCCTAGAACTGCATCCTCGGATAGCCCAGTCTTTTGGTACAAGAGGGGGTAGACAGGAAGCTAATGAACCTGGGGGCCCAAATCAGAAGGGACAGAAAGAGGGTCTACAGGCTGGGTCCTTCTTAGGAATGGTATGAGAGGACAGGCAAGATGGGGCAGCAGTGCCCACAGACGTCATGTGGTCCCTTGCAGGTCATCTTGCAGAGGGAATACTGTGCAGGCAGCTGGGTGCCTCATAAGCCCACTACACATTAAAAACTAAGTTTGGTTTTGTGACCCTTTAATACTATGTGACCATCAGAAAGATTCAGGTCTGAGGAGATAACTAAGCAGCATAAGTGCCTGCCTGGCAATCACAAGGTCCTGAGTTTGATCCCTGGAACCAAATAACAGGTTCAGTACTGCTTCACATGCCTCACTAGTGAAGGAGAATATGGTATCATTGATGCCTACTTTGCAGGGATCTGGAAAAAATAAAAATGAGTAGGCATATGTAAAAATACTTTGAAATTTTGAAACTTCAATTAGAAGAGTTTATCAAAATTATTATTGACCAATGAAATATTGCCTTACATCAGGGGCTTCTATTTAGGTTACTTTGCCATATCTATTCTCTGGACTCAAAATATTTACAATTATAACAGTAAATATTTTGCATATGTTCTATCAACCCTCTCCACCACCACCCCACTCCCCACCCCGTTTTTCATTTTTGATACCAGGAAACAAACTCGGGATACTGTGCTTGCTAGGCAGGCATTGTGCTGTTGGGCCACCGGATACTGTTGGTATCCGGTGCACACCGTTATTGTCTTCACCCTTATTCTAGAGATGAGGAAACTGAGGAGCAGAAACATTGAGTCAGTTTCTCAAAATTCCACTTTATGTCATTGCTAGGACTTGAGCTCAGGAAATTTAGATCCAGAGGTGACAACAATGATAGCATTTGAAAAAAAATATGTAAAGTTTCTCTTTCATTGTTTTTAAAAATATTTTGTATTTGCATATGACATGATACTTTACTTGGAAGATACACAAATTCAGTAGCATAGCAGGAAAGAAAGTCAGTACCCAAAAGTCAGTCGCATTCCTCTACACAGATAACAAACACACTGAGAGGGAAATTACAGAAACAATACCTTTTACAATAGCACCACGGAAAATGAAATACCTTGGAATTCATCTAACTAAAGAAGTCAAAGATCTTTTCAAGGAAAATTACAGTACTCTGAAAAAAACAGATCATAGAGGATTTCAGAAATGGAAAGATATTCCATGTTTCTGGATAGGAAGAACCAACATTGTGAAGATGGCCATACTCCCAAAATTGCTGTACAAATTTAATGCAATCCCTATCCCTATAAAACTACCATCAACATACCTCCCAGATCTAGAGAAATCATTCCTAAAATGTATTTGGAACCAGAAAAGACCTAGGGGCCGGGGAAATAGCTTAGTAGAATAAATGCTTGCCTGGCAAGCACAAGGGCCTGAGTTCAATCCCCAGTTCCACAAAAAAAAAAAAAAAAAAAAAAAAGACCTAGAATAGCAAAGACAATCCTGGCCAACAAAGACAAGGCAGGAGGTATTGCAATTCCTGACTTGAAATTATACTGCAAAGCTACCATCATAAAACCAGCATGGTACTGGTAACAAAATAGACCTGAGGATCAATGGAATAGATTAGAAGATGCAGAGACCTCTATGAACACACTCAGCCACCTGATCTTTGACAAAGGGGCCAAACATGCTTATTGGAAGAAAGATAGCCTATTTTAACAAATGGTGCTGGAAAAACTGGCTCTCTACATGCCAAAAACTAAAACTTGACTCAGGTCCATTACCATGCACTAAGCTAAAGTCAAAATGGATTAAAGATCTAAACATTAAAACACAAACACTAAATCTCCTAGAAGAGAAAGTAGGAGGAACTCTTGAAGACATAGGGGTAGGCAAAGAGTTCCTGAACAAAAATCAAATTGCATGGGTAATACTTGAAAGAATTAACAACTGGGACCACCTCTTACTGAGAAGTTTTTGTATGTCAAAAGAAATTACCAACAAAGTGAAAAAACAACCCATAAATTTTGTAAAAATCTTAACTCATAAGCACTCAGACAAAGGTCTGCTCTGTAGAATTCATAAAGAACTAAAAAACATTAAGGCCCCTAAATTTAAAGACCCAATCCAGAAATGGGCATCCAAGATGAACACACACTTCTCAGAGGATGAAAATAAAGAAGTGAATAAATATATGACAAAATGCTTCACATCACTAGCCATCTGTGAAATGCAAATTAAAACAACACTGAGATATCATTTCACTCCAGAAAGAATGGCTATCATAAAGAAATCAACCACCAACAAATATTCGAGAGGCTGTGGGGAAACGGGAGCATTTCTCCACTGCTGGTGGGAATGTAGACTGATACAACCATTATGGAAATCAGTGTGAAGATTCCTTAAACAACTAGGACTGGAAATCCCAGTCAAGTCAGCTATCCCCCTACTGGGAATTTTCCTGGAGGGCCTGAAAACGTCATATCATAGTGATATATGTGTATCTTTGTTTATCACAGCACAATTTGTGTTAGCCAAATCTTAGAAATAACCAAGATGCCCATCACATGAGGAATGGTTGAAAAAGATGTGGTATTTTTATACAATGGAGTATTACTCAGCTATAAAGAATGATAAACTTGAAGCATTTATATTTAAGTCAATGCGATTTGAAGATATACTCATAAGTGAAATAAACCAGACCCACATGTGTAAATATCATATAGTCTCCCTATGTAAGAACTCAAAAGAAGAAATACAAATAGAAAAGTATAACACAATTAAAAGGAAAACAAGAACTTGAGGCTTGGACAATGAGGAGAGGACAAGGAGAAAAGTGGGGAAACATGACAGGGGCAAAGCCATACATTTATACGCACAAGATGGGTAAGGCAATGATCCTGAGAAACAGCAAGTTCTTTTTTTTTTTTTTTTCCAGCTAACACAGAAGAGATGATTTATTGTACACACTTTACACTCAGCCAAAAGTGAGAACAGAAGTAGTCCAGAATGCCACAAGTCTGGGGTAAAAAAACCAGGAGACTGCTTAGTTTGAACCAGGTGGATCATCTCTCTTTGAGGTGGTCTTGGTGATCAGATGGCAATGAAGTTCTAACCCATTGAGACATTCTAGACAGCATGCCATCCAAAACTTGCACCAGCGTTGTCAGCCTCCACCATTCTTTATTTCTGCTTTTTTGACCTCCATGGGTGTAAGAGCTATTTTACTTGGACCCCTGTCTCATCTTTCTTCTTTTATGCTTCAGCCTGCGCATTTGCTTCTTCCTCCACTTGGCTCTCATGGCACAGAGGTACCTAAGAAGATGGTGTTAAAGTTGAGAGAGAAAGTTTTTGAAACTAGCAGTTAATTGGTAGGATTCTCACCCTGACTAACTATATATGCTGATAACTGTAAACTAAGCAACTGCGCTGAAGGTAGCAATGTGTAATACCAGGGTCATGCTTGGACTGTCTATCATTCTGGTCTTCTAAATTCTGATCTTCTTGTCATGACAAACCAATTATTACCATATTGTCTCTCAAGTAATTTTTTTTTTTAAAAAAAGGGTAATAAATGAAAAAAAGACACAAAAAAAGTCACAGGACTGTCCTGCTACAATGCTGTATATGGTTAGATTTCTAAATTTCTGTGTAAAAATATGTAATTGTTTATTCATATTCTTTAAATATTTTTCATTTTAAAATTTTTTTCTATATATTCTGTAGGGACTTAAAGTTTAACATATCAATACTTGATGGAAAATACCTGTTCCATTTTATGCCTAAGATGTTTGATATTCAGACAGATAGGGAGGTTAAACCCAACTGCATATGTTGTAGAGTAATAATAAACTTCTCTTCTGGAGGGCTACCTACCTAAGTTTGCAGACCAAAAATTAGAGATAAAAGGACTGCAAGGACAGCAAACATTTTGACCCTAGCCTTTCAAAGTCAGTGAAGACTCAGGACATAGGAAAACCTATTCTCTGACATCATATAACTCAGTTGTGTCCCAAATTTTCTGATCAAGGAGATTATGGGGCCACAGAGCAACGTGATCAATGATGTAGAGTGTGCCTAAGGAGAGTCACATAGAGAGAAAATATTCTCTCAGGCTTTCACAGAGAACAAATTGGTTAAACAATGGCCGTGACTCATCCACATGGCTGACACTGACAAAGGATCTGCAAACTGTGGTACAGGGTTACAGGATAAATCCTGAGGGGACTTGACTGACCTTATCAGATATGAAAGTTACATTTCTTGTTATATAGGCCTTGCTTCATCTTGGTCTTAACCATCCA